AAAAAAAAAAAAAAAAAAAAAAAAAAAAAAAAAAAAAAAAAAAAAAAAAAAAAAAACCTTGAATGGATGTTTATCATAATTACGTCAAGCAATATTGTAATCAGTGCCATCAGCTATTTTATTAAGAATGGTCTGTCTTTGTATTTTCTTGACATAAGTAATTATTTCTCAAAATATTTTTATAACTTTTCAGTTATTACAGGAAGATTACAGCCGAACACCTGCCCAAAGACTGCTAAAAGAGATCCAAGAGGCCAAGAAACACATTCCTCAGCTGCAAGAGCAGTTATCCAAAGCCACAGGCTGTGCTCAGGTAGCATCACTATTAAAAGTGCTACCCAACTTTTTGCAGGAGAATTTTCTTCTGGGAATGTGTCAGAGAATGTTGCAGTTGCCTTTTTAAAAAGTTATCTGTCTAGCTTAGGACAACAGGATGTCCTGTGTAGAATGTTGCAGAAGTAATGATTAATGAAAATAAATGTGGACTTATGATTATTTGCTTGCTTATATCATGTTTCTTTGTTCCATAATAATTTTAAAAAGAATTGAATGCTTTTTCTTTGATGTGACAAATCACTAAAATGTATTTAAATATGTATATTTACATTTTTGTAATTCATTCTACCTTAAAACAGAATGACAGTTCATATATTTATAAGTAGGGGTATAATATTTTACAAAATGACAGACACTGTGCTAAATACATGGACAAGCATTCTTTTATTTAATCTGCAAAATAACCCTCTGAGGTTAGGTACTGAAACTTGGAAAGATTAAGTAATTTGTCTGAGGTTGTATAGCTCAAAAGTGATAGAACTGAGATTCAAACCCAATATGAGGATTTCAAAGCACATTCATACTCTTGACTAGAAGCATACTCTAGATTCAAAGCACATGACTAGATTTTTATTATAACTAAAAAATAAACTTCAATAGAATTTGCTATATGTATAAGTTATGGAGATAACAGTCTCGTTAGAAAAAATAGCTCAGGGGCCGAGCCTGTGGCGCACTCGGGAGAGTGCAGTGCTGGGAGCGCAGCGCTCCTGCTGCGGGTTCGGATCCTATATAGGGATGACCGGTGCGCTCACAGAGCTCACTGGCTGAGCGCGGTGCGGCTGGTCTCAAAAAGGAAAAAAAAAAAAAAAAAAAAAAAAAAAAAAAAAA